GTTTTTAAGTCCTCTTTGCTTTCATTAAGAAAGGTTGTATCATCTGCACATCACAAGTTGTTAGAGTCTTCCTGATGCCACGTTATTCTACATATAACTCAGCTTCCCTAATTATTTACTAAGCCTATAGATTGAATAAAGGAGCTCTGGTAGCGTAGTGGTTACGAATTGGGCTGCGAACCTTAAGGTCAGCAGTTCGAAACTACCAGCCGCTCCGCGGGAGAAAGATGAGGCTTTCTACTCCCGTAAAGATTTACACCCTCGGAAACCCTGTACAGGGTCGCTATGGGTCGGAACCGACTCGACGGCACTTAACAACAACAACAACAACATAGATTGAATAAGCATGGTGAAAGAATATAATCCTGGCTCACAACTTTCCTAATTTTAAACCATTCAGTGTTCCCTTGTTCTGTTCAAACAACTGTCTTTTGGTCTATGTACAGGTTCCTCATGAGCACAATTAAGTGTTCTGCAACATTCATTCTTTGCAATGTTGTCCCTAACTTCTCTTGTTCCACACAATCGAAAACCTTTCCATAAGCTTTCAATAAAGCACAGGTAAATGTCTTTCTGGTATTCTCTGCTTTCAGCCAAGATCCATCTGATATCAGCACCAATATTCCTCATTCCACATCCTCTTCTGGACCTCTGGAATTCTGTCAATAAATGGTTGCAGCTGTTTTAGTATTATCTTTAGTAAAACATTACTTGCATGGGATATCAATAATATTGTCCAATGATTTCTACATTCCATTGGGTTACCTCCCTTTGGAATGGGCACAAATATGGGATCTCTTCCAATCCGTTGGCCAGATAGTTGTGTACCAAATTTCTTAGCATAGATGAGTGAGTGCCTCCAGTGCCGTCTCACTTTCTTGAAAGATTTCAGTTTCTTCTTTGCCAATGCCTTCAATGCACCTTGAACTTCTTCCTTCATTATCATTGGTTCTTGATCATATGCTACCTCTTGAAATGGTTGGATATCAACCATTTCTTTTTGGTACAGTGACTCTGTGTATTCCTTCCATCTTCTTTTGATGCTTTCTGCATCATTCTATATTTTGCCCATAGAATCCTACAATACTTGAAGTCAAGGCTTTAATTTTTTCTTCTCTTCCCTCAGCTTGAGAAATGCTGAGTATGTTCCTCCCTTTTGGTTTTCTAACTACTGGTCTTTGCACATTTCATTATAATATTTGACTTTGTCTTCTCAAGCTGACCTTTGAATTTTTCTGTTCAGTTTTTCTACCTCCTCACTTCTTCCACTTGCTTTAGCATCTCTACACTAGAGAGCAAGTTTCAGAGTCTCTTCTGACATCCATTTTGGTCTTTTCCTCCTTTCTTGTCTTCTTAATGACCTTTTGCTTCTTCCTCTATGATGTTCTTGATGTCTTCCCACAACTCTTCTGGGTTTCCGTCTTTAGTGTCTAATGCATCAAATCTGTTCTCCATATGATCTCTAAATTCTGAAGGGATATGTTCAAGGTCATATTTTGACTCTTGTGGAGTTTTTCATTTTCTTCAGCTTCAGCCTGAAGTTGCATAGAGCAATTGATGGTCGGTTCTACGGTCTGCCCCTGGCCTTGTTTTGGCTCATGAGTCATCTTTTATGTTGTTTAAAAAGGTTTTGCAATGAAGAAGTCATTGAATTCTATTATGTGATCTCCAACATAATTTCTATCAGCAAGGTCATATTTTCCAACTACTGATCCTTCCTCTTTTCTTTCAACCTTTGTATTCCAATCACCAATAATTATCAATACGTCTTGATTGCATATTTGATCAATTTCAGTCTGAAGAAGTTGGTAGAATTCTTTGATTTCATCATCACTGACTTTAGTGGTTGGTGCACAAATTTGAATAGTAGTGGTATTAACTGGTCTTCCTTGTAGGCATATGGACATATGCCTACACAGATTCCCATCACAGACTGTGTTGTACTTCAAGACAGCTTTTGATATGTTCTTTTTAATGATGAATGTGATATCAATCCTCCTTAATTTGTCATTCCCAGTATAGTAAACCATGTATCAGATTCAAAATGGTCAATGCCAGGCCATTTCAGCTCACTCATACCTAGAATATCAATGTTTATGCATTCCATTTCATTTTTTACAATTGCCAATTTTCCTAGATTCTATACTCTGTACATTCTTTGTTCCAATTATTAATGGATGTTTACAGATGTTTCATTGCTGATGTCTGATGGATCTTGGCTGAAAGCAGAGAATATCAGAAAGATGTTTACTTGTGCTTTATTGACTATGCAAAGGCTTTCAGTTGTGTGGATCATGACAAGCTATGGAAAACATTGCAAAGTATGAGTATTCTGGAACACTTAATTGTGCTCATGAGGAATCTGTTGTTCGAACAGAACATAGGAACACTGAATGGTTTAAAATTAAGAAAGGTGTGTGACAGGGTTGTATTCTTTCACCATACTTATTCAACCTGTATGCTGAGAAAATAATCCGAGAAGCTGGGTTATAAGAAGAAAAACATGGCATCAGGATTAGAGAAAGACTTATTAACAACCTGTGACATGCAGATGATACAACCTTGCTTGCTGAAAGTGAAGAGGACTTAAAATACTTACTGATTAAGATCAAAGAGCACAGCCTTTGGTATGGATTACATCTCTATGTAAAGAAAACAAAATTCCTCTCCACTGGACCAATAAACTACATTCTTATCAATGGAGAAAAGATTGAAGTTGTCAAGGACTTAATTCTTCTTGGATCAACTCTCAATACTCATGGAAGCAGCATTCAAGAGATCAAATGACATATTGCATTAGGCAAATCTGCTGCACAAGACCTTTTTAAAGTGTTGAAGAGCAAACATGTCAGCTTGAGGACAAAGGTGCACCTGACCCAAGCCATGGTATTGTCAATAATCTCATATGCATGCGGTTGGACAGTGAATAAAGAAAACCATAGAAGAATTGATGCTTTTGAGTTATGGTGTTGGAGGAGAATATTGAAAGTGCCATGAGCTGCCAAAAAACAAAACAAAACAAAACAAAAAAACAGATTTGTGTTGGAAGAAGTGCAATCAGAGTGTTCCTTGGAGGCCAGGATAGCCAAATTTCATCTCTCATACTTTGGACATATTGTCAGGAGGGACCAGTTGCTGTAGAATATCATGTTTAGTAAGGTAGAGGGTCAGAGAAAAAGAAGAAGACCCCAGCAAGACGGATTAGTAATATTGCCGCATCAATGGGCTGAAGCGTGACAACAATTGTGAGATTGGCCCAGGACCGGGCAGTATTTCGTTCTGTTGTACATAGGGTCGCTATAAGTCAGTAGCAACTCGATGGCACCTAACAACAACAACAACAACAAAGTGATGAGAAAACGATGTTTCTCTTCATTTTAAGTTGTGCCCCATCAGCAAATGAAGGACCCAAGGACTTTACTCCATTCATATCATCACAGTCTATTCTACTTTTCGGAGGCAGCTCTTTTCCAGTCACATCTTGAGTGACTTCCAACCTGAGGGGCTCACCTTCTGGCACTATATCTGACAATATTCTGGTGCTCTTCATCATGTTACAATACTCTGTATTCTGGTGCTGATGGTGTTCCACTGCTATTCATAAGGTTTTCAGTGACTAAATATTTGCAAGTAGTCCATCTCTCCTTCTTCCTATTTGTCTTTTTCTTGAAGCTCTATTGAAACCTGTCCACCATGGGTGACCCTGCTAGTGTTTAAAATGTCAGTGTAAGAGATTCCAGAATGACAGTAAATACACAAGCCACCACTGTACCACAGTATGAGTGGTGGCCCATAAAGATTGCAGCCTTGGAAATTTTATGGGGCAGTTTACTCTGAATCAGTATGACTCAGCACACAAAACAACAATCTTTCAGTTATTCATCATATGAAATCTGTGGCTCCCACTTGGCTTTCATCATTGTAAATTGCTTTTGGAAATAAACTCTTGAAATAAAATGTTATGTACTTCTGTGAAACAATTGCTTATCACTTATGCAGAGCTGGTATTTTGTTTTTGTTTTTTGGTAAGAAATCTCCAGATTGTAACGACATTTCTTTGCAACTCTAAAGAAACTTGAAAACCAGGTGCTGCTTAACCACATTTTCCAGCTGTCCTTTCCTTTTTCCTGTGATGTTTACTTAAAACAAATGTCAATGATCCATAAGGCAACCAGAAACTAAAAATGAAACAGCTAACTTCACTCTTTTCATGATTTCTCTCCTTCTCTTGAAGTTCAACGGCCACAGTACCAGTTATATCTTCTCGCCTCTGAAAACTGTCAAACAGCCTTCTCCAACGGTTTAAAGACGCAGTCCTCAGGATCAGTATGTAGAGGAAATCCTACAAGCAACCAATGCTGCCTCCTGCACCCTGGATTTGAGGCGATTACAAGGAGCTCTGGTAGCGTTGTTGTTGTCAGGTGCCATCGAGTCGGAACCGACTCATAGCGACCCCATGCACAGCAGAACGAAACAATGTCCGATC